TTTATTTATTGGTTTTCCGGGGTGTGTTATATTGCATGCCGGAACATTTGTCCGTTGTTAAGAATTCGTTAGCATAAAGAATTTGTATTTCATATATGACTAATGTTATAATATTCAGAAAATACATGGCTATTCACGTCATTGGTAACTACGAATTAAAGATATATAATACATTCAAAGAACAAGGTTCACTATTACCCCCAAAAATGGCTAGAATTTCGGCTTGATCATATAATATCAAAAAGGCAAAACTGTGATTCTTAAATAGATCTGTTTCAATATCAATAATGCTACGAACAAGTATTATCATAAGAGAACACCATAGGCTCCAAAATCGGTACATTTGATGATAATGTACAAACACAATGTTTTTGCGATGTTTTTCAGACATAAAAGCTGCGTTCTAAGATCCATGAAGTGCTGCAACCAAACCGGTGACAGGGTCTATATCGAATCTCTGGCCAGAACAGTTAACTAGATAGGGGGTTTACCAAAATCAGTATATCCATATGTCAACACTTTGTACAATAAGTTTAAAACTACATTATGAATTAACTTATTCAATCAAACTTTGACGTTTTGTAAAAACAATTTTACAAATTAACTTTGCAAATATACTTTTAACGGAAATTTTATCATTGCTAGAATTGCTTGAAGAAAGCCTGCTTTCAATTTTCGAGATTTTACATTGGTCAAAAATTAAATAAAGAGAATTGATATCCAGCGATACTTTACCACCACGGGTTGTTGAGAACAAACCAAAAAAAAATAAGAAAATATAGTATGATTGCCAAAAAGACTACCTTCTATCAGAGTCGATATGACTTTGATTAAAACAGCTGTAACTCACCAACAATGAGGAAGACATAAAGTCCTCAAAATAAGAACATATGAAAAAGTTAAAAAGAAACTTACTGACTTATTACAAAACAACAAATACAAACCACATATTGCAGACATCGGACAATAAGTTATTTATCTATGATTTTTAAATACTATAATATTTCAATAGTCTGAAACTGTTTTGCTAGATCAGAAGCTCGGTACATTAAGACTTGCATGAATATACGAGTATTGTTCTACTGAAACTTATGATACAACTTGGACACCAGTTGCAAATAATGGATGAATCTCCTGCATGGATTCTTCTTATTTCATATCCCAAGATATCTATGCTTTTTGTCAGTGGTTTTATTTTCTTAAAGGGAGGAAGTTATTATTTTTTATATGTCTTTGACCATACTGATCAGCAGACATTGAAATGCGTATTAGTGTAATAAAATAAGAACCGTTTGCCTTAGTAATTGTTTTAATGAAATTCAAGACTAGCGATTCGTTTCCTTGTCTGAATATTAACAAACAAGTGATATATAACAATTACAATAAGTTCGCTATTGTTCGCTCTTTCAAAAGGGCAATAGTAACGAGATATCGAAAAAAAATATGAAATATGACTTTTTTTTTGTTCAATCATTACTGAAAGTGAAATAGTGATATAATAATCCACTTTTATCAAACAGCTATGGTTCAGTTTTGTCAAAATAAGCAAAGACACATCGCTTCAAATGAACGCCTTAGCTAGAGATGGGCTACGCATGAACTAGGCACGAAGAAAAGAAAAGAATGTCAAAATTGAAAGTGATACAAGGGCAAACCATTTGACCGATTCGATCTACAAAAACTCATTATTATGCAGGTCAAAACGATTATTAACATTTTTTTAACCCTATAATATGTAATCAAACAGACCTAAAAATTTCAATTGCACGAGTTCGATATCTATTTATATCTTTGTCTATGTTGGTATAGGGTTATATGACCGTCTTCGGAGGTCACCTCGATGGTTAATTATAAGAAGGCGTCTAGACTAAAATACACTCGAAATACTGATATTATCGAGTACGTGCATAGTAAATTGTTTATTCTAGACTTTTTATGATTTTGATAAACGTTTTAGTATGTTATAAATGAAATATGAGAATTTGAATCAAATCGGTGAACACGAATTTGACAGCTAATGTCCCTTTAAAAGATGTATCCTTCGTTTCATTTGGTCTTTGATATAATGTTGTCTTATTGGCAATTATAACATATTTTTTTCTAATATGAATTGAGGTGACAGTATTTTACGGGTGTTCTAAATCTAGTAATAATAAACAAAGTAGGTCAACAAACAAAAACAGAGGAAATCGATTGAACTCTAAAAGGAGCAAAGTTGGGTGTGTCGACAGGGTAACCGTCTCGTAGAAGCTAACATCATCCGCCATCCTAATTCACACTCCGTCAAAATGTCTTAATCGGGACTACACAATCAGTTTAAAAACAAATTAGAAAACTGTCCACATATACTTAAGTTAAAGATATAACGCCTGTCGTCCGTTGATTTAAATAGTAATCAGATCGCAATCGGTCATGATATAATAACGAATATTGACCATTAAAACGTTTAAACCCGATGCAAATGTTTGCACCTGTCCTAAGTCAGGAATCTGATCTTGAGTAGTTGTCTTTTATATAGATTAGACCGTTGGTTTTCCCGTTTGAATGGTTTTACAATAGTAATTTTTGGGGCCCTTTATAGCTTGCTGTTCGGTGTGAGCCAAGGCTCCGTGTTGAAGACCGTACTTTGACCTATAATGGTTTACTTTTATAAATTTTGACTTGGATGTAGATTTGTCTAATACCTCATCTTCTTATATCCATTGAGGTCAGATAACTCAGATAATTGAAATGGAATAATCAGTCAATCGTTTTACCTTTTAAAAGAGTTTTTTTTTTTTTTTGGGGGGGGGGGGGGGGCTAATTGTTATATAGTGCAAAATATGCATTGGTATAAAAGTTTTCTCAAAATCATTTCGTTATCATTCATTCTATTTTCTCAAGTTGTTTTTCCCATGTACAACGAACAACCTGTAGCTTGTTAAACAAATTTAGTCGCCAAAACGTTTTATCATTTTTGTTTATTCAAATCACGATATAACCGATAATTTAGCAAATTACCTTACATATAACCCGAAACAAAACAAATGCATTGGTGTATTAATGTTTACGGGCAGAATAATACGATATGGTGGTAAGATTAATGCATTATTGAAATTTATTTAAATATACACTTTAGTATCAAAATTATCTATATTAAGGTATACTGCAAAGCTATTGAAATGATTGTTATCTGATTTAAAATGTGTTTCTTCAGTATATTTATCATCTTAAGTTTGTCTTTGATCATATTACCTACATATTGTGTCAGAATACTTATAAAAGATACAACAACAATTGGTTAGGTCTTCATGCTTATGTATAGAAAAATATAAATGTAAAATTTAAATATCAGGGTCGTCAATCATTAGTTTAACTCCGAAATTATTGACATGAATGTTGTCTGATTTTGAACATTTCAATAAAAGGGGCATTAGCTTTCAAAATCATAAACACCGATGTAAAAAGTTTAAATTTTTTAATTATAACAAAATAAAATATCCACATTAAATATAAATATACATGTATATAAAACGTCCAAAACAAACAATTAACAACGCATGGATTCTTTTATAATATAACAGCATTTCATGCGTACTTTAAATTAGTCACCATCTAATTAACCATCGATGTGAATTTCGAAGACTACCAATGGTTATACACCCCGATATTAACATGAATATAAATATAGAAAGACAGACAACGTCGCGGAATAGCAAAATTAAAACAACACGTTAAAAACATGCATCTGAAGCGCTTTTCTTGATTTACCTTCATCAGGTAGCGCAAAGCCAACTATTTGAAAGCCAATCCTGTCTTAGAAATGAAACAGTTGAAGAGTTATACGATGGTATAATGATGATTTATCTAGGTATTTGTATAGGTTTTTCTCGTTATTGAAGGATGTACGGTTGCCTATTATTGCTCACATTTACTTTATTTAAACTGTAGTGGATAGTTGCAGATTATCATTTAACGTTGGCATGAAAATTGCAGATCCCGCCGATATTCTTTTAACATATATTCAATTTCTTCAAAAATAATAATCTGCGACAAACAATGGCAAAGCCGAGTAGTAGTAATAATAATAATAATAATAATAATAATAATAATAAAAATAATAATAATAATTATAATAATAACAAAAATAATTATAATAAAAATAATGATAATAATAAAAATAATAATATTAATAATAATAATAAAAGCATAATTCTAATAATGATAATAATATTATAATAATAATAATAATAATAATAATTACAACGACAACAACAACAATAACAATAATAATAATAATAAAAGTAATAATAATAATAATAATAATTAAAATAGTAATAATAAAAAAATAAAAATAATAATAACAATACCAACAATAATGAAGCAAATACATATTTGGTATTGGCTGAAGTATCTTCAATTAGATACACACATGGTCTACGTCAACGGCCACTAAAACACAAAACTTGAAGCCATCGACAAAACTCAGGTGTCTCTACTTTTAGCATTAATACTTCGTATGGTTCATTTTACATGTAATACACAATACAAAGTCAAATCTTCACCTCAAACGTTTGCAGGAAAACTGCATATTCTATGCATGAAATTTCCTTAAAATATGAGGTACTTTTCCTTAAATATATACTTTTAAAAACCCTGAAATTAGCTACTTAATATTATGTTACTATGGTAAATTGCAATATCTGGTTTCAAATATAAAAAATATAATCATTCCAAGCGCTGTTATTGCTTTATATTAATGAATTATCAAGAATAATTATATAGGAACACACAGTTACTCTGATTGATGACTGCTTGTCGTCCTTTCGTTGATTACTTATTGAAAACTTATTTTTGCGTTGAAAACAAAATGTATGTATACTTATATTTCCTAACGTTAACGCCTTCTTTGGCGTATCTAGTAAATAACCAAGATAGACATACACACGCTGCAGTATAATTATGTTTTAATACATATGTTTCAACACAGTTATATTAAAATAATGAGAGTCTGTACTTACATGTGAAGGAATACAACTGTATGTACAAACCTACTACGTAATAACTATACTCTTTTAAATCTATTTTGTCAAGATAGATTTTGTCAAGTTATAGCTTTTCAAAAAGCTTGTCTCACTTCAGCACTTCCTTAATTTGGGAAGCAGGTAACTCGAGGGTAGAGCAAATTCTGATATAGGTTTCAGACTTCAGTTAGGCAAGTTAAGGAGGTATAAGATTGTATTTAAGGCGGGGGAAGGGTAGTGTTTATTGTTACTCCAAAAATTCATTGTTGAATATAGAAAAATGATAAGTATAACATGTACAACAGATGGTTTTCATTGTTTTTTTTTTTTCATTTGAACTTTTTGTTTGCAAAGATAAACCCTTTAGCCTAACCTTGTATTGTTACATACTGTAATGACCAACATGCAGAATATGGAAGAAGGAAAAGTGTGAAAGCTTTTCTAACAAAACCAAACTGATAAAAAAAAAGGAAAAGCTATAACTTGTCTTATTAAAAGCCTTTTACAAAATGTATTTCTTTTGCAATAACCCACGCTGCAATGTTACCCACATTGCAATGCACTTAACGCTACCATATATAAGTGAACAGAAGTTGGCAAATTACATCTAAATGTTCGACGCCTTGACATGGTTGAGTTAGCAAAAGTAAAATATTCTTTTTCAACGAAGTATATTGTTAATATTTTCTTGACTATAACTACAATACCTTTGTTCAACATGATTAAATTTACACAAAGTGACTCGTTTTTGTTGGTTTTGGTTAGTAAAGTATCTTTCAAATTAAGTAATCTCTTATGATTTTCCAAAGCCTAATTAAATCTTATTCGAGGCGGTTTTAATCATTCACTTAAATATGTCTTTACTGCAGTGCTATTTTTGGCACATGGAGAGATCAAAATATAACTTCCGTTGAATATATAATAGCAGTTTACAATGAACATGATGAATTTGTTAGCAACTTATATAAACAATAATTAGATTGAACTCCTATTACAGTAAAAACCAGAAATGTTTAAACCTCATCTATCATTGCTGACTGCATCTCTAATGCTCTCACTGCTGGATTTATTTAACTGGCAACTTATTTCCAACATTTAATTTGGATGACTTATTGTTCAACAACTATTTTGCAATTTTATGGAAACCAACTTTGCCCCTCTTAATACAGGAACTTTTCATGAAAAATGAGAAGAGGCTGGCATTATTGTCTAGGGTTACTTTCCTTTGTATAGCAGATGGCCTTTAACTATATTATTCAAAGTTCATCAACATTGCTGACTGCATCTCATATACGGTAAAGTCTGTCTCATATCTTGACTTACGTTAAAAAATCAACAATAAGGGTCGGTTGAGAACTAAATACTCCGACGTTTTCAACCTTCCCTTCGTGGACTTTCCATTCGTATGTAGCAATATCGAAGCAGCACCTTCAATGCAAATGTAGAAAATATTTCCTACTTTGAACGATATTCCAGGGCATACGTTTTTTTAAACAATATCCCAGAACAAAAATGCCCCGGACAAAAGAAATTTATAAAGTGTTTTCATGTTTTCCATTTCAAGTAACGACTATAACTTCCTTTTGTTCTCGCACTTTAAATTGTCAAAAGTAATACGACGGTTGCCATTGGTGGAGCAAAAACTACTTATATTCGGGAAAATCCGACAAACTCCCGGTTTTGAGTTTGGTTCGTCGTGTTCAATCTTTAGCTTTCCATGGATAATTTAATGTATTATTTATTTTATTTTTTGCGTCAGTTTCTTATTCTATATGGTGTTGTCTGCTTTAAAAACTGTTTTTTTTTTGCCCCTTTGTATCTAGGGGGTTATACTATGGAAGCTAACTATTCCCGTCTTCACACAGACACTGCTCAAAAAAGGAAAGAAGCTGGCATTAATATCTAACTAATTATTTCAATAGATCGACAATTTTCTTTCACTAAATTATTCAAAGTGTGTTGACTTTATTGATTGCATCTAAAATATATTAATTATAAAAAAAGAAGATGCGTTATGATTGCCAAGAGACAACTCTCCATTAGAGACCAAATGACACAGACATTACATGAATTAACAACTATAGGTCTCCGTACGGCCTTCAACAAAGCTCATACCGCATAGTCAGCTATAAAAGGCCCCGAAATGACAAATGTAAAACAATTCAAACGATAAAACTAACAGCCTAATTTATGTACGAAAAATGAACGAAAAACAAATATATAACACATCAACAAACGACAACCACTAAATAACAGGCTCCTGACTTGGGACAGACACATACATACAGAAGGTGACTTAACTTATTAGATGGATACAAATATAAATACATCTAACAAAAACACAAAATGATTTATTATTCTCATATTTTATAAAACGTGACCGGGTACTTGTATATCCCAACAACAAAAAGACATTTAGTACTGATCTGAGAGTACTCGCAGTTACTGACAGCTAGTCCAAAGCCACTAATAACCTATAACAATTAGGTTGTTGTCTTCCTGACTTATATATCATGTCTGCTTTCTGCCCTGTTATAATTGAAATTGTTTTTGAAAAGCATTTTAGCAACTGCCAAGATATAGACAGCATCGACATTAGATTTTCAAATGTTTTATGTTTTAGTTGTGTTGATATTTTTGACGTTTATGAAAATGATATATTATTCTCATATGTGATAAAACAAATGATAAATAGCATTTACACAAAAAACTGCAAACTTAATCATCAATGATATTTGGACAATGTATTTTTGACCATTTTCATAAGATATATTTAACTGTTTTCTATAAGCATGCTTTTGTATTTTACTTTAGCAGAATTATCAAATCCATACGTTTAATGGACATAAGATATTTACATTCCGAAGAAAGATATCGACAGAAATGTACAATGATCTGATAAACATTTCATCTAGGAATAAGAAACGTTATAAACAAAGGCTAGCTGCTTATAATTTGTCACTAGCAAATGATTCCTCAGTTTGTCAAAGTAAACGGATCTTGGCATATCGAGACCATCTTTCTTAGTCAGTATCTGTTTGCACTGTTTTCCATCAGGAGATATGACAACCACATTGCATGAATCCATTCCAACAACAAAAACGTAACCGTTGTTGTTTATTGTTATTCCATGCGGATAATTTAAAACTCGTTTATCTTTGAACTTCCACATAAGAGCCCCACTGTATGAACAGCAAGCTACTGTGTGGTTAACCGGATTTGTGAAGAAAATCTTGTTTGCATCAGCTGAGACGTATGAATACAACGCTTGGGTCGTGTGAGGGATTGTAGTGATACTGTAGTCTGTAAAAGATATCAAAATTAAGTCTTTACATTCAACACAGCAGATCAATGATTTACCGTTATAACTTATTCCATAGGGGTAATCAGGTAATTCAATAAACTTGATTATTTTTTTCTTGGTCATATCAATAATACTTATACCTCGTTTTTTACAGTATCCAGTGGATACAGCTACTGTAGATTCATCTATAGACTCTACATCAAACGCACTAGAAGGTTCTGTAATTAGGATGGTGTTTTCAACTTCACCTTCGGCATTTATTGCTAATACTTTGGCATAGTTAATTTCGTGATAAGTAATAATGAATTCGCCCTTTCTTGTAACACAACCCCCAGGAGAGTAATCACAAGACGTGCTCAGTTTTCGTTTGAGTTCAAGTTTGACATCGTTCGTCCATGTTTTTGCTTTAGGAACCATTATTTGGGCATGTCTGCCTTTCGTTCTGTATATTTCGATTGTCGAAGACGGGCTTTTCTCGACTTTTATAGAACCGAATCTATCAACATTCAGAATATCATTTATTTTGACATCTATTGTACTTTCTATGGATATTTCATCGAGGTACTTATTTTGAAGACAAGACTGGAAATGCTTTTCGTATTCAGTGCTTTTTGCCTGAATTTCTCTTATGCTTAGAATCGTTTGCAGATCTGATGCGTATTTCTTTGTGTTCTTGATTTCCGACTTCATTTGATTTATTTCTTTTTCTTTATCTTGAAGTGAGGACACAATTAAACAAATATAGTTGCAGTAATTCAATTCAATTTGATCAAGTCCTTTGATAAACTCCTCTTCCAGTTTATTGACATGTTGGATGACCTGCTTTTTTAAGTGACGAACTTGTGTAGTTATTTTCTTCTTTTTATCTGTTAGTCTGTCTATGTTGGATTCTCTGTCTTTACGAATTTGAGTTATATTATTACATAGGTCGTCAAGATTTTGTTCTAGATCACCAGAGAACTCCGAAGTCTTAATGTCCTTAACTATCTCATCAAGTGAATGTATTTCTCCACATTCAATGATCCTTTACGCACTTGTTGCATATTGGACTCTCGTGCATAATACAGTACAGTTGGTACGTCTCATTGTGATAAATACAATGCTGATTGATGTCGGTTATAGCGGATGGTATTAATTTGTAATCTGAGATTGAAATAGTTTTGTGATTTCTTGTTGCCTTTAAAACATTGTGATATTTTTCACAGTTAGCACACAATGGTTCTTCACATTCAATACACCAGTGAGTTGATTGTGTAGTTTGGTGTTGGAGATCGCATACCACGCACACTGATGTACTTGTAGCCATCTCCGATGCCACTGTCAACATAAAATTTAAAACAATATCATTAATGTATATCTGTTTAATATTACACAACGATAAAAAGGTAAATCACAAAAATACTGAACTCCGAGGAAAATCCAAAACGGAAAGTCCCTAATCAAATGGCAAAATCAACAGCACAAACACATCAAACGAATGGACAACAACTGTCATATTCCTGACTTGGTACAGGCATTTTCCTATATAAAAAATGATGGATTGAACCTGGTTTTATAGCGCTAAACCTCTTACTTGTATGGCAGTCGCATCAAATTCCATTATATTGACAACGATGCGTGAATAAAACAAACAGACATAATAGGTAAAATTGCAAAATAGGGGTACAGCAGTCAATACCGTGTCACAATCTTAATCACAAAACAAACGAACAAACATTTAACAACCTCGTGCATTGCTTACTTAT